TTCAGGAGTTGGAGGGACACATATGTGGCTGCCACACTCAACCAGCAGCCTTACCCTGTGGGGTACATTACAGCCTACATTATGGGTCTTCTGCCTCACACGGTTGTATATCTCCTTTCTACTCGCTGTAAGAGAACTTCCAATTTGTACTCTCAGCCCATGCTTGCCAGGCTTTAGTCAATGTCAGGGCATTATGGATCCATCGTGGCCTGGCTCAGGCACTGTCTTCATACCCGTGCCTCCCCAGGACCAGCAGGTGGTTGGTCCCCTTCTGTCTTCCAGGGCCTTGTACTCTCGGGTACCTCATGGGAATGTAGCCCACGTGTGTGAAGGGAACCAGTAAACAGCATCCTTGGTGTCGTACTGTCCTCCTCTGCGAACTGGAGGTGACAGTGCCTCTCAGAGTCTGGGGGCGACACCAAGTGTCAAGCAGCACACCCACCCCACGCTCTGGGGTCTGCAGGCACTGAGGCCTTTGATGGCCCCTCCCCTGCCAGGAGGGAGGAGAGCAGGCATGGGAGTTGGAAGGTCCTGCTTGAAATCCCACTTCCACCTGGGTGAAGCACTTCACACTGAGGCTTCATCTGCTGACTGTGGGAGAGCTCTGAAGTGCTAGGACCTGCCTCACAGGTTCCACAGGACCAGCCTCACACCAGGTTCCAATCAAAATTAGTCAGACAAAGTTGCTTTCTGGGGACATGAGCACTGACCAGAGCCTGTGTGTGTGTGTGTGTGTGTGTGTGTGTGTGTGTGTGTGTGTGTGTGTGTGTGTGTGTGTGTCTGTGGGGGGGAGCGGGAGGGGGAGGGCCAGGAGCATGGAACAGGGAGTGGTGAGCCAAGCCTAGAGATGGGGCCTAGGGACTTGAGGTTGTGGCTGAACCTGCTGGGAGAAGAGTGTGACTCAATGACTTGGTGTGGCATTAGAATTCTAATGCTGCCTACTGCACTGTCAGAAGCCTGGTGGCTTGAAACAGCCCTGCTTGTTGGTGGTGGCTGCTGCAGGGCACAGTCTGGAGGATTTCACTGGAATCTCCATCCCTGGCCTAAGGAGGTTGGAATGCAGCCACTGGCCAGGTTGCGTCCTCATCAGGAGGCTCACATGGGGTGACTTTTGCTTCCTATCTCCCTTGGGTCCTTGGAAGAATTTTCTTTGCAATTATGGAGCTGGGCTTTCCATGTTCTCTCTGTCCCCTGACCGGTCTTAGTTCCTGGAAGCAGCCTGTAGGTAGACAGTCACATGCCACCCCTCCAACCACTCAACACAGCTGCTTCTTACGTCTGCCTCTTCAAGAAGCACGCTGACCCAATCGAGTCAGGCCTTCCCAGGCCGAGCTCTCCTTCCATTTTTTCACACTTCGGTTGTGCCAGGAAATCCTTTCCCCTTTGCCCAGATGTGCCCTAACCATGTCGACTACAGGACATCGCAGACCCGGGTTCCACTTGGCTTATGGGAAGATGATTCGGCCAGGCTTCTGCACACAGGCTGCTGGGGAGCTGCCATGATTCTGTGTGGCAGTGAGAAAGCTCACATCTGGCTGTGATTCTGAGCTTTGCCGACTGTTCTGTTCCAGTCCTGCAGCTGGCAATCCCAGAGGTGCAAAGGTGGCCTTTAGGTCCTGATGGCCTACAGGGAGCTCCACACAAACCCTGCTGGGAGGAGACTGTAGAAAGTCTAAAGAAGCAGTGGCACATTTCCACAGTGCATTAGAATGTTCTAGAAGGAGGAAGTTGGACACAGGTGAACATCCTTGAGTCTCTCACCAGTGGAGGAAGAGAGGAGATCATTGCTCCAGAGGCTCTACCAAGCACCAAGCGCTTTGGATTCCATGTCTCATGAAGGCAGAGGCTGCCCTTGATCCATCTAAGGTCACAGCCCCAGGAAGTTGAGGAGGAAGTTGGAGTTCAGACAGACCTACTGTGCCTCCCAATCAGCTGATCTGCCCAGAAGGGCACCATCCCAGCCATGCCCTGCCTCAGTCAAAATCATTGCTTTCTATTTGCAGTGACATTTTTTTTTCTGACTGAGAGATGACAAGTTACAAGGCTGACTTCCAAAATGTGATTCTCCTGTCTCAGTGCTAGGATCTGTATTATGAGGATGGTCCACTAGCTCCCAACCTCTGGATGTCCTCCTGAGAATGACCTTTGGTTTGTTCCCAGGATCTCTGCAGAACATGATTGGGTCCAGTAGCTGGAGTTTTCTCTAGTCCTGCTTGGGCCGCAGCTACTCAGATCTTCAGATCCCAATAGGGCCCAAATATCAGCCCTGACAGACCAGAAGCCATGCCTTGTTCGTGGACCATATTGCCAGGCCTAGAGATGCTCTCAGATAGTCCATGATACTAACTAAATATTTGTTCAAAGGATGAGGGAATAAACCCTTGACTCAAGGGAAACTTAACTCTAATATCAAAGCCAACTCATCTCTTTGAAAGTACATCCTCACAAAGCATGACTGGAGCCCAGGGATGATTCTACCTGCTTCCATCAACGGTCTGCTTCTATGCCTGGGCCGTGAAGGTGAAATGACTCACATTTACAATCATAGCTAAGAACATCCGTGCACATGACTCCTGAAAGTCTGAGAATGAATTAACCCACAACCACTGCAATCAACCCACAGGTGAGGAGCGGCAAAGACTTGCCTGGTTTTCTGACCCCCACACATGAGGGTGCTGGGCCTGTGCTGGCTCTGGAGCCTGTGTGATTTGTGCGGTAGCCCTGGTGGAGCAGGCTCATGAGAGGGAGTTCTCCTTCAGGCAATGATGGCGCTGATTACCTGCTCACCTTCATGCTCATGCAGGAAGCTCTGATTGCAGCCCAGAGAGTGACTAAAGGCTGGGCTTCCTCCCCTGCTGTAAGGGGATGGAGGATGTCTGATGGCATTCGTCACAGCATCCCTTCTGATTAATCAGGCTGCTTCAATCTGTGAGGGAGAGTAGCTCCAGGAAGGAAATCTGCCTGGAACAGTCATTCTGTGTTTCATGCCTGTGCAGGTGAACTCAAAGCAGAGGCAGGGGTCCCGGGGAAGGCTCTTGGGATGGTGAGAACAGAAATAACAAATGGATGCCCAAGGGATTTTACTTCCCCCGGGGATTCTCAGGAGTCAGGAAACCCAGGGACCAGCCTTTGTGCTTTTCTTTTGAGGGAGGTCTTTTTGAGATAAAAATCTTACTAGCTAGCCCAGGCCATTTTCCAACTTGTAATCCTCCTGCCTCCATGACTTAAGTGTTGGGATGACAGTTCTGTACCATCACATTTGGCATCAAGGTGACTTTCTGGAAGGACAAACATCTAACCTTTGAACTCTCTTATGTCCCTGTTGGACACCGTTTCTACTCTATTAGCTCGTGAAGTTAGGTGAGCTATGAGTAATTTATGACCTTTGATTTCTTCCCAGGATCTCTGCAGAACATGATTGGGTCCTGTAGCTGGAGTTTTCTCCAGTCCTGCTCGGGCCACAGCCCCTCAGACCCAAGTAAACACACAGAGACTAATATTACTTATAAACTGTATAGCCGTGGCAGGCTTCTTGCTATCTAGTTCTTATACCTTAAATTAATTCATTTCTATTAATCTGTAAGTTGCCACGTGGCTTGCAGCTTACTGGTACTTTACATCTTACTTCTCATGACAGTGCAGCTGGCAGCATCTCCTGACTCAGCCTTCCACTTCCCAGAATTCTTCTCTCTGCTTTGTCCCGCCTATACTATCCTTCCTGCCTGGCTACTGGCCAATCAGCATTTTATTTATCAATCAATCAAAGCAACAGATTCACAGCATATAGAGCAACATCACCCATCAGGGTCCCTTAGTGGGTTTTAGATGAAAGGCCCCCATCTTCCCTCATTGGGCAAACCCAACCAATAGTAACAAAAGGTAGTGTGGTCTTACTGTGATGTGAGTGTGATCCCAGATTTGTGAGTTGGAAATGTGATTAGTCCACACAGTGGTGGGAGGGGCAACTATGGGAAGGTGCCCAGATTATGAAGGGCACACCTCTCTTTGTAGATGGGTTCATGCCTACTATAAAGGGATATGAAGTCACAAGACAGATCATTGGCTACCTCTCACTATATGATGCCCTGTGCCATATTCCAGTGCAGCAAGTGGGACCCTCCATCACAGGTTTGCCGACCTCCATGTGCTTAAGAGATGGACCTCTGTTCCTCATACATTACCTAGTCTGCAGTGTTCTGTCGTAGAAGACTGTCTTCAAAATGTTGCAAATATTTGTATGGGAAATCTTACAGGGACACTCTAGGCAACCAGCAATGAACTCATTAGCTTTATCAAAAATATTGGAGTTGCATGAAGAATCCCATCATCCAGGCCATACAGAAATGAAAAGTTCTGGTGTTGTGGCCTTTGAAGAGGAGCAGGATCTGAGCAGAGCCAGAACTTGGGCTTTTGCAGGGAGAAGCCACTGGCTACCAGGAAGAGCGCACAAACTGGGCCGGACTACTGCCCACTCTGGACACTAGGCTCCAGTTGCATCTTTTCCCCACAGCCTCCCTGCTTCATGGCATTGCGTTGGTACCTTCTGCCCTCTTACCCTGCATTTACCCTTCCTTCATTGACCTTGATCTCAGTCCTCCACTTGAGGTAACACTGCCTCTGTCCTTTGGGGGTTCTCCCTGCCACTCTGGACCAAATCACTAATATACTGACTCTTTCTGGAAAAATATTTTAAAAGAGAACATCATTCTTTGGTCGATCATGGGTCAATCTCCCATCTTTCTTCAGAAGATGGAAAGATCACAGGCCCCAAACCAAGGGAACAAGTGAGGCAGAGGCTTTGTGAAAGACAAGGTCTCTCCTGGCCTCCGAACATTCGAAGCAAACCACCCAGAAGCCTGCCAAGCAACTGAGGAGTTTTTAATCATTGTTTCTCTCTTCTGGGGAGAAAAAAAAAAAAGAGTCATTTGTAGCCTGGCAACAAAGATCTGTGTGTTCTTCCCCCATGCCAAGCCGTCAACACAGCCTCCCTCAGCTCAGCATAATGATGTTCACAGGCCACAACCAGGGTGTCTTGGGGTGGCACAAGAGGGCTGCAGACACCAGGCAATGCCAGCAGGCTGGGGTGTGTGTTAGAGGAGCTGGCAGAAAAATGGGGCCTGTGGGCTTTTGGACCCAGGAACTTATCAGAGAGCTCCATACTTCCCCTGGCACAAGGGCTCCCCGCAGACATAGAACAGTGTTTCCTGTTAGGCAGCTGTGGGGTTGGGAGCCCAGGTGGCATAGGTGTGCTATGGAGAGGGTGTGCTGTGGGTGTCCTCTGGGCTGGATGAGGCTCCCTCTCCCCACTGCTCAGCCATCTTTTTCCTCTCACCCTCTGCCTCTGTCTTCTTCCTTGACGCAGGTAAACACCTTCATCTCAAGAGCCATCCTGGACTCAACTGGCTGCAGAAAACTGCTTTGGAGGCAAAAGAAGAAATAAGACAAGAAGCACTCATTTGGAAGTGAGTGTGCCCCCACTGCTCAGCACCCCCATATCAGGATTAGATGGAGTAGAGGTTAAGGATGTGGACCTGGAGTCCAATTTCCTGGATGTGAATCCTACGTACCAATAATTCCCATTGCAAACTTGTATGTCCTAAGACCAGGAAGTCTTCTCCTTAGTGCTAAAATGATGACAACTGTTATTATTATTATTATTATTATTATTATTATTATTATTACTCTTTCTAAAATATTTGACATTATAGCCATTTCTTCAAAATAATGTGGCTGTGGTCAAGTCATAGATTTCGCTTTCTTTCCTCAGGTAAGCTGAAAAGTTTAGCTGAAATACTACACTGAACACATTTAGCTAAATTCCTGGCACCATGTTAGCCCTATATATTTAAAAATGGGGCTGGTGTGGTGACTCAGTGGCAAGGTATTTGCCTGGCACATGTGAGGCCCTGGCTCTATTCTCAGATCTGAAAAAAATTAAAAATTGTCTCTGGGTTCTGTCCGAATGCAAGAATGAAGGCATGCCTCCCTTCCAAGCTGTTGCACACCGCAGACAGATACTCAAGAGGATGTATGTGGGGGCCCTAAGAGCATCTCCTCATAAATTGCTTGCTCAGCAAGAAGGGAGAAAAAGCAAACAGGCACAGTTAGCCAGGGGTGACGCAAACAGGAGCAGCCTGAGGACAAGCCGACACCATGAGCTCCCTGTTCTACTGCACCCAGAAGGATGCAACCGTGTGCTGTGAGATCCTGTCAGAAAACTGCAACCTGGGAAATGATGAGGCCGGCTGAGGGGTCCTCTCTCTGTGCAGGGATTGGTCAGTGAAGAGATAAAAGGAAAAAGGCTGAAGAAGAGCCATGGACCAGAGGAGACCACAGAGATGTGACACCTGAATATAATGTGTAAAGCTGGGCCAGTTGACGGGACCCAGGACTGGGAAACATGGGCACAACCGGATTACTTGGACAACAGGTAAAATTAGAACAGGGTGTGCAGCCTAGATCATGTTGGTATATTGTTTTAGTGTTTAATTCAGAACACTGCTGTATCATATATAATTATATGCAAATACGTAAAAATTTCCTGAACCATATTTGTTCAAAATGTATTGTACACATGGGTTGATGTTTTATGATTATGTATACCTAATTTCCTGAAATACATGTGTATGGGCATGTATATGTAAATCCACAGTCGTGCAGTGAGAGAGAAAGAGATGAGAAGAATATGTCTCAGCTCTGTTATTATGTAAAAGTAATGAAGCTACCACCATTCTTCTGGCCCTTTCCGAGTTTGCCCATTTGGGAAGATGAACTGAAACCTTACAGAGTGTAGTTTCTTGGCTCAGCATAGACTCCTGAGATTCATGCATGTTGCTGGGTAGAGAAGTGGTTCATTTTCATTTTCAAGGTCGCATAGAATTCTGTTGCTCCTATACCCACTTCCATGTATATGGGTTGTTTCCTCTTTTTTTTTTTTTTTAATACTTTTGAATGCTGTGGCAGAGATCATACATACATACTTGTGTGTTGGTTCGTAGGAACAGAGTGGTTAGCTTATCTAGCATGCAAATATGCAAATATCCCACATTAGTGGATCCTGACAACTTCCCAAATTGATTGGGCCATTTTTTTTTTAACTTCCACCAGCAGTGCTGAAGCATTCCAGCTGCTCTGTACCCTTGCCAACACTTAGTCTTGTCAGGCCGTGGAGTTTAACCGTTCTGAAATGTGTATCTTATTACAGGCTTAATTGACATGTCTCTACTGCCTGTTGAAGCTGAGTTCCTTCTGTCCATTGGCCATTCAGGTATGCGGTTTTGTGGAGGTACCATTCCAACCTTTTGCTCGTCTTCCTGTGAGCTGTCACGTCTTATTGATTTGGAAGGCTCTTTATATATTCTGAATAGAAGTCCTTTGTCACACGCACTGACTGAGGATGTCCTCTCTTGTTCTGTGATTTGCTTTTCCAGTTCTTCATGATATTTCTTGGTAAGTTTTAATTTTCAGGACATACAAATTATTAGGGTCTCCCCCCCACCAAGTCCTACAATTTAACCTTTATAATACTCTTAAAAGATTAAACTGTATAAATCAGGTGGATCCTACTTCTAGATCCTAGTTGGAAGGGTCCTGGACAGAGGGTCCGCAGTCAAACCCCATGATCTCCCTCCTGCTTGGGCTCTTGAGGGGAGGAGGTGCTTGGGGACACTGGCAGGAGAGGCGAGGCTCATTGGCACCTAGGATTCTGAAAGTCCAGCCTACTCTGCTGACTGCTATCGCAGGGTTACATGGCCCTTTGTCCAGAGGCAGGTACAGTCCTGAACAGAGAGAGTGCTCTGAGGGACAGAGATGCAGTATTTCAGTTCAAGCCACAGGCAGTTGCAAAGGTGGGCTCTGAGGGTGACCATCGCTCTGCTAGGAACTTGGAGAGAGAGAAAGTCAGCGATGGTGTCCCAGAGGAGGGGACTGTTAATGTAGGTTCTGTTGGCTGCGAAGGAGCCTTCCAGACAGCCAAGGAATAGAAGAGCATTTCAGACAAATACTTAGAGACCTGCAGGAGCTGGACACTTAATAAACTGCCATGTAGCGTGAGATTTGAGAAAGGGACCAGCCATTTCCCATCCCAACCTCCCCACCCGAAAGGGGGAGGTTTGCATCCACAAAGGCCTGGCTAACGTGTCCTAGTGCTGGTGATGATGGACAGGCCCTGTCACTGTGTCTGTCATACAGACAGAGATGGGGGAGGGGTTGGGGCAAGCAGTCCTGGAAGGTCCTGTAGAGGAGGTGGCCCTGAGGCTGGCCAGGAGTACCTCTGTCTTTCAGCTGCTGTTTCTGGGTGAGCACAGGCCTGCACGACCCTGTCTCTCCATGTGGATGAAAAGCTGTGGAGCACTGAGCAGTCCAGACTCCCAAGTGACTTTAATGGAGTTTAATTTCAACTGTAGATTTTGAAGCAGCTTGGGGAATTTAGAGATAAGACCAGCTCTGGGGAGGCAGGAAAGGAGGTAGAGCCCAGAAGACACCAGCTCCCTTCTCTCTGAGGAACTCCTGTCCTGAACTCAAAGTCTGACCCAGACTCCCACACTCCATTAGAGGATTTGTGTGGCCAGAGATGTGCTGTCTCCTAAGGAGACAGAGGAGAAGAGTGGCAGCCCCTTTGGGCTCTTTGAGCTCAGTCCTCTCTAACCTTGGGGGCTTTAAGTTGTCTGCTGATGCTGGGACACCCGGGTGCAGGCCTTCTCTGCCCCTCGGGGTTTTCAGGGATGACCCAGGCCATACACATACGGGGGTGGGGGAAGGGGACACAGACATACATGGGCATAGACACACACAGACAAACACACAAGAGGGACACATATACATACAAACACACAAAGGGTCACACACACACAGACATAAACACAGACAGACACACACAAAGGGACACACACACATATGGGGGATAGGGTGGGATCACACAGACATATACAGGCACAGACACACACAGACAGACACACAAGAGGCACACATACACAGACAGACAGACACACACAAAAGGGTCATACACACTGAATCACATACACAGATACACACACACACATACAAAGGGACACATACACACACAGATACACACAGAGGGTGGAGGGACACATACACACACAGATATACACAGGCACTGACACACAAGAGGGACACATACAATACATGGACAAACAGACAGACGGACAGACACACAAAAGGTCTCTCACACACAGAGACATATACACAGATAGACACACAGAGGGACACATACACACACACACACACACACACACACACACACACACACACACACACACACCCCTGCACTCTACGCTGCTATCCAGGGACCCTCAAGCCAGTCCTTCAGTGGTTCCACCTTTGCAGAGTGGACCCCTAACATCCCACAGGCTCTGCCTCCCCTCTTCTCCTGGCTTCTTGCTTCTGTCTCGCCTGGCAGTTGCCTGCTGCTCGGGTGCCCTCCTTGGCCTTGGAAACAGGAGAAAGCTGTGGGACTCCTGGCTCTCATTAGACTTTAGACTGGGCCATGCGCCTGATTCCAAAGGCCGTATCTCCTGAAGTCTTGGGTCACGTTGTGTCAGCAAAGCATCGGAGTGGGATAAGTGAGCTCCTGCACAGGTGACAGGCACTCAGGTGTCCGTGTGCCTTAAATCTGAGCCCTAGGGGCTGTTGGCACAGCCACAGATGAAACCCCCAAGCCTCAGTTTTGCCACCTGCAAAGAGGGATTCATACCCAGCTCTTAGGTTTACTGAGTCCTGTGGGACGGGGGTGGGGTGAGGTGGAGGTGGTGGTGGTGGGGGCAGCCTCTAGATGCCCACTCTCATTCAGTAGGTATTTTGTATGGACCTGTGCGGGGCCTGTCTAGAGTCAGGAGCACAGTAGGCTCTTCTTTTGTATCTGAGTTCCTTTTCCCTTTCTTTTATCCCAAGAGATTCCAGAGACCCCAGGAAGGAGCATGCATTCTTTTCCTCAGGCCAGCACTGCAGGGCAATTGTGGCTGAACTTTGGTGCGACTGCTCCCCGGAACAAGTGTGCAAAGCCACACCTTAGGACTGTGTGGTCAGGTGTGGCATCCTGGGGTGGGAGTAAGACTCCAACTTAGCAGCCAGCTTTTGGGTAGTAATAAGGCAGGAGAACAGCTAGTCTTAAAAGTCTGAGCCCTCAGCCCGCTCCTCACCAGTGGGGCAAGGTCTGGCTTGAGCTCAGAATGGAGAGTTCAGGCAGGTTCCAGGGTAAGCAGGCTGGTGTGTGTATGGGGGGCAGACATTAGGGCAGAAGGTAGGTGAGCAAGATCACAGTTCTCGGACACCTATGCAGACTTATGTGGGCACAGAGAGGCACTTTGACTCACAGAGGAGTGGTAGAGTGAGGTAGGGTGAGGTGGTAGGTAGGAAGCAGAGAAGAAATTGCCTTATAGCCTGGGCCCTGAACTTTCAGTACACTACTTTACCTGATTCTCTCTGGCCCATTTTATAGATTAGGAAACTGAGGCCCAGTGGGGTCCATGTCTCGTTTAACAGTACCTAGGAGCAGAGGTGTGATGAGAACCCAAGTTGACCACCTCAACTCTGGCCCCACCTGCTCAGTAAGTATTTTCTCAGCCTCCTAAAAATCTGGACACTGAGTCCAAACCTGAGACAGTTCACATGTAGAGATGTGGTATAAACAGAATTAGGCTCTGCCCTTCCCCTAAACTTCTTATTTATCTGGACTACGGAGAACCGCACCCAACGTTTTGTTATTTAGCTGACATATCAGTATTTCTGATGTAAGGTGGGGTAGGGGAGGACCCCTCACCTCTGACCCTCAAAGAGCTTGAACATGGTCAGCAGATGCTTCTGAAAGGTGGCATGGTGGAGAGAAACTCGAAGTGTGAGGAGGAGCCAGGGAGCAGGAAGTATTAGGGTCAAGACCAACTAGCTCTGGGTCCAAATGGGGCCATCCTTAGCTGATTGACAGGCCCGTGGGTGCATGCTCACCTCACCCAGAACGGCCTGATGCCTGTATGGTGTCTCAGAGCCTGACCGGATCACTTGCCTGCTTCCACCGGCCCTTGTTGCTGGAACCACAGACTGGCAGGGGCCCTGGACTTAGAAATCCCAGGTGGATCCAGATCAGAAGCAGGAAGACAAAACATTTTCAGGGCTGTTCCCTAGCAACCCGAGCTGCTGGCCACAGCTGCAGGTCCACAGCTGATGCCCTTCCATCCATTTGCAGGAGGCATGGGTTTTAGGTGCTCGGAGGTGCTCCGGGAGGCTTCTTAATGTCCCTCCAATGATCCAAGAAGCCATTTGCTTAGAAAACCTCCCCCCTCTCCTTCCCCTCCCTCTTCCCACCCCCACCCCATCAGCCAGCTCTGAGAGCACTGTGAATACTGCGGCAGAGCACCAAACGGAACCCCGGTGGTGTGTCGAACAAAGCCTTAGATCCGTGGCAGCGGCAGCAGTGTGGGGTGACTGTCTCGGTGGCGGTGGCGATGGCGATGCTGCCCACCCTGGGCTGCCCTGGGAGAGGGTGGGAGGGATGGATTGGAACCAGAAGACAGGATGCAAAACAAGCCCAGTGCCAAACAGAGTGGAGGGGGAAGGGAGGGGAGGGGGGAAAGGAGGAGGGGGAGGAAGCAGAGCAGGGGAGAAGGAGGAGAGAGGCCACTCATTTATTTATTATGATGCCAGTTGTAGCGTTGGTCTCATGTGTGGGGAGCAGACTGTATTTTATGTTTTAATCCTCCAAGCTGTGTGTGTGGGCTGGGGATAATTACATTGAAAAATGTGGCTAATATGCGGAAGGCTCTTTTTGTGGGGACGGGAATGCTTCAGTGGAATATCTTCCTCGTGGCAACCGAGGCCTTTTCCATAAGCGGCTCAGAAGGTGCCAGTAATTGGGAGCACGATGGAAACCCGCACCCTGCCCCCAGCAGGCTCAGTGCTCTTCTGTTACAGTGAGTCCTGGCATCCTCGGAGGAGGGGGACTGCACTCCCTCCCCCTCCCGCGCCGCAACCTGCCACACCATCAGCCCCTGTGGGTGACAGACAGACGGGACACAAATGGGAGGTCTGATTGCTTTCTTGGCTGCAGCCCTGGCGCCTCCACCGCTGAAGAAGGCAGGAGGGAGGCACAGGTATTCAGTCCCCTCGCTCATACACACGACCACCTATCTGTCCACACACGAAACACACGTGCAGTATACTCACACATTCACACACAGTCCACACAGGTGCCCACAAACATCCACTCATTCACACACACCAACGCCTGGACTCACTCATATCCTCTCATATATCACACTCGTGCAGGCACACATGTATGTGCTCATGTGCATTCTCCCACACATAACCACACACACACACACACACACACACACACACACATCCATGCCGCCTCCATGCGTACACATGCAGATTTACACACACTTACATGGTTTACCCACTGTGATACACGTGTGTCCGAAAACTTTCTAGGTGCTCTCTCACGCACACCCTCATCTATATTCATATCCACTACAGCTTGCACGGGCTGATGTTTGTGAAGGACTGTCAGAAATATTGCCAGGGACATTTTTATTTGGAATTTTAAAAAATTGACATCTGCCTCCCTTAAAAGGCCACAAAAAAAAAAAATCTCCATTCCTGCCATCCTGGAAGTTTGTTTTTTAGCACACAGGCCTTGGTGACTGCGCGGCTCTTAAATTCAAGCCACATGGCCGGTGTGCAGACTTTTCCCTGGCTCATGCGTTCTGCTCATTTGATGCCCTGTTTACTCAGAAACTGCAGATCCAGTGGAAAAAACACCCCAGCCTGCTGTGGTGCCAATTAGTCCCTCTTCCCACGGTGGGCCAGCCTCCCTACCGGAGGAGAGCCACAGGGCGGACAGTGAGGTCCTTAGTGAGGCTGGCTGTGATGAATAGGGCCTTGCTTCCCTGGGGACTTGGCGGGTGATTTTGTAGAAAATTGAATTTCTTGGTAAGTTAGAAGATGTGCTAATGAGTACTAATGTGGGGCCAGGAGGGCTGGGGTGGGCTCAGGCTTGGGCATCAGCTGGGTCATCCCTACTTCTGCCTCTGGGACTCCCAGCTCTACCCACCTGCTGCCTCCTCCTGGTTCAGGTTCGAGTCTACCCACCAGCATACTGTTTGCCCGTGGTACTGCCCTAGCTCTTGTCCAGGACATCCTGTATCCCCTAAGTCCACAATGACCCTAAATTGTCCTTTCTTCCTCTGAAGCACTTGAGACTACTCACGGCTTGCAGAATTGGGCCAGAGTTGTTCAGTCTGGGGCTGTGGGTCGGAGCTCTTGTCTGGAAAGTTTTCTCATCGGACACCTGAATAACTCATTTACTACCTTGCTAAGGTGTTTTGAGATGTCTTTTCAGTGAAGCCAGGCCTGTCCATCCTCCACTGAGTTTCTGGCTCACCCTTGTCACTGCCAAAGCGCTGAGCATGTCCCATGACAGTAAGCTATAGAAAGGCACACGCCAGGGTCCTGTGGTCACTGCTGTATCACTCATAGCCAACACAAGATCCCATGTGGGGAAGGAAGCCATCCCACTATTGTCTGCTAAAAAGTGAATGAGAGAGACACATGTCCAGATCCCACCCTCCACCGGGTCATCCCTCTGCCTCTCGAGTCCTGGGACTAAAGACATACTCTGATTAGCTGGGTGTAGCAGCCCACGCCTTTAACCCCAGCACTCAGGAGGCAAAAGCAGGCAGATCTGTGTGAGTTTGAGGCCAGTCTGGTCTACAAAGCAAGTTCCAGGCCAGCCAGGGCTACATAGTGAGATGCTGTCTCAAACAAAACATAACAAAACACACACACACAAACCACACACTGATGTGCTTAGTAAGTATTCATGTTTATGGTTGCATTGTTTGTGAATCCATTGTATAACAATCAAATCGGGGCAGCTAGCACCTCTATCCCCTTATATACTGGCCAATTTGTTAGAGGTAGAACACTCAAAGACCTCTCTTGTGGTGATTTTGAGAGATACAATGTTATTATTAACTATGAACATCCAACTGTACACAAAACCAGTGAACACAAAAACTCACTTCACACCAGGAACTCTCCTTGCTGTGCTAAGTATGTTAAATATAGACTCAGCATCACCTTCTCATATTTTTGGTTCTTTTTTTTTTTTTTTTTTGAGTGGGGGAAGGATTTTTTTTTTTAAGGATTTACCATGCATTTTATTTTTTTTTGATGGGGGCGTACATGAACATACACATGTATGTGTGTTCACGAGAGAGAGAGAGAGAGAGAGAGAGAGAGAGAGAGAGAGAGAGAGAGAGAGGGAGAGGGAGAATTAGAATTTGGAGTCCAGCAGTTAAAGTCAGGCATCCTCTCTATTGCTCTCCACCTAATTTTGTGAGTCTTTCACTAGACTTGCAGTTCACCAGCTTGCTTAAGTCCACTGAGCTCCGGGCATCCTCCTGTATCCACTGCTCCTGTTCTGGGATTACAGGCACACAACCACAGCACACCGCCTTTTACGTGTGTGCTGGATTTGAACTCAGGTCCCTCTGCTTGCACAAGTGTTTTACTGACCTCGCCATCTCCCCAGCCCCTTGTCACGCGGTTTTTAAGTGTTTTCAGATGTATGTGTTTCTATGCAAAGATCACGGCAATAGTGCCACCTCCGTTGGATAGATGGGCAAGTTGAGGCTCAGAGAGGCAGAATGATTCACCTGGCTCGCACAGCGGCTGTGGGCAGGTACCTTTG